GCCTTAGAGATCCGTTGGGTGGTACCTCCACGTTCGACAGTTAGAGACCGTCTACCACTCAGGGGGGTGAATCGTCTTATGGGAAAACGGGCAACACCAAGGTCATCCTCTCAAGGCAAAATTGAGGAAACTGCATTACCGGCATAACGTGTTGCTTGCCGGGATTCTCTATCTTTTTCTAAATGTAAAAATATCAAATATGGCGTTTGTTCGGTCAATGTCCAGATTATCAACGCTGATGCTTTCGGAGATATTTCGTAAAAAACGAGCATAAAATATCAAGCATCACTATCAGTAGCTGTGATGCTATACGTGGGATGTATTTTGGCTATTGTGGGAGATGCAGAAGTTCAGGAGACTCTGTCATAAGTCATAAAGTGCAACAGGTAGGCTGTGAACTTAACATATCGGCATGATGTAGTCGGTGGATTATTTAAAATTGTATGTGTGGATTCCGCCTTTTTATAATTCTTGTAGATGGCAACGTTACATAAAGTATGAGAGGCCGACAAATTAAAGGCATAGAACTAAGCAAACTAATTAAAAAAAGCTTGTTTACAAATAACTATGAATTACGTTAGTATTTCAGAATTATCAAGAAGTAGTACAATGACGTGAGACACCTGTATTTTCCAACACACAACATGAATTTGAAATATATATATATATATATATATATATATATATATATATATATATATATATTCATATAATATAATTTTTATACCTATGTCAACAGCTTTAATTTGTTTATTTTTGAAGCTAAACGATATATTTGGTGCTTCATAAGGGTTGGATTTTATTTTTCCGAACCTTGTTCTCAACAAAACTATTGAAAGAGGTATTACCGTGGTGGTGATATTTTATGAATATATGTTCATAAAATAATCCTTCAATATCAGAAATATCACTTTCAACAGATTTCAAATTACGAACAAAACGAAATCTCAGGCACATTCATAGCATTCCTTATTCCAGGCGCGTTCTTAGCATTCTTTCGATAGTTCCTCTAGATCTACAGACAAGTAGGCGACGCAACCATCTGACAAACGTCAACGGTGTTGCCATTGTTCAACGTGCAGCGTCCACTTCTTCAGTCTTATGTGTTTTGTGCTACACCCTATGGAGAATCAAAACATCCATAGCCAAGAGAAACATTCTCTTGGGACGGGATTCTAACCCGCGCAGCGCACGGCCCTGATTAGGAGACCCCTTACGACTACTACTACCACTACTGCTACTGTCATCGCTGCTGCCTTATTGTGGCTATGATACAAAAACATATTTTAATATGAGGGAGGAACTCATAGATCCTGAAGTGGGTGCCAGAAGAGGCAACGACAGGGTGGATGAGCTTGTAGGAAACGAATTACGAGCCATATGCCCCATATAAAGAGAAATCCAAATATCACTGACGAGGTAATGTGTACGTGAGAGAAGCGTGCAGACGGCAACGCGGCAAGCGTTATCGTCACTCGGCTTGCTAGGCAATGTAGTGCTTCTATCTCTTTCTAACATACGTATTCAAAGCTTCTCTTTTGTACACATTACAACGTGAGTGGTACTTGGATTTCTCTGTATAGAACCTGCCCTGGGGGAGCCAGGATGCAGTTTATTAAACAAAGGCGAAAATTGGTCAGACGACTGCACAAACAATATTGGAATTTTGTTTGGATGCAGGCATAGAGGAAAGACACTATACTTGAAAATGAAAGGTCCCGCTATACTTAGATATTTTTTGAACGGGTCAAGTTAGAGAAATGAAGTCCGGGATCGTAAAATTGACACATAAATACTATATTTCAACGTGAAAGTAACAGTTGTTCATTTTTTTGAATGGAAGGGGGGTCATGCGATACCTTATTTTGAAGCTCGTGAAAAACCCGTTATTGCGATTTTGTATTGCGACCTAATAATGGCGTTTGTTGTTAACAATCCGTCGAAATATAATTAGTGTGTGGTCAAATTTATGTGTGCTGAAGGTTTGCAACCAGTGCAAATTCATTGGTGTCGAAAATTTAAAAGTGGAAGAGAGGAGACGAATGATAAGCCGCGACCAGGTGCATAGAGTGCTGCATCAACAGACAGGAATGTGGCATGTGTGAAAGGCATGTTTAGATAAAATCGTCGAATTTCTATCAGAGCAATTTCATTAAATGTTGGAGTGAGTACAGGATCTGTCCATCTGTACACAAATTTTGTTACAGCAAGGTTTGCGCGCAATGGGCTCTTCGCGTTTTGTCAGAGGACCAAAGAAGCTTGCGAATGGCCTTATATTTGGAACACTCCCGGAATACAAGTAAAACGGTAATGACTTTGTTTCGCCAATAATTGCTGGCGACGAATCTTGGTGTCATTATCTTGAACCATCCAGTAGCCTATCATCGATGCAAGGAAACACCTAAATTCTACGCTACCAAAAAAGTTTAAAGTTTAAACTTCTGCAGGCAACGTCAGGTTAACATTTTTTTTCGACCATGAAGGACCCTTGCTCATATAGTTTAAAGAACCTGGAGTCCATATCAACGCAAACCTGTATAATAAAACTTTGATCAATCTCCATCAAACAATAAGACGAAAACGCCAATGAAGCTCTCACGTGGTGACAGTCTTGTGATTGGCCTCATATTGTCAGTAGTGAAAGAAAATCTACAACGAAAGAAGTGGAGCATCCATTTATCGCCTTGCGATTTTCACATCTCTGGGTCACTGGAAAAGGCGTTAAAAGGTAAGCATTTTCAGTCAGACGAAGAGGTACAAAATGTTATAAAATAATTCTTCAAGCAGCACCCAAAAGAATTCTTTAAGCAGCGAATGGTGTAACAATGGCATATGTACCATAATTGTAGTGGTAATTATTTGTAGATATATTTGCCAATAATTTTTTTCTGGACCACAGATTGGTTTCAATTGAATAAGCCTCGTACCTTTCCAAAAGAAAATTGACATAACATACTATAGCTTTTTAATGATACGTTGTTGAGTCATAATGTACAAAGACTTTAAACTTTGAACGACTATCAGATCGCCATTTTGGAGGATAGTCATCTTACATTTTAGGGTTAGAAAGTAATCATCAGGAACTTCAAAATGAGGTATCACACGACCCATGATTTTATTTAAAAAATATATGCTAAAAATACTTTTCATGCATCAATTTCATTTCTCCCGAATTGCAGCTTTCTAACTCGAGCCGTTCAAAGAATATGTCGGGTGGACCGTTTCAGAAAACAATGTATAAGTACTTAGCGGGGTCCGACCAAGGCTTTTGCATTTATAATAATAATAATAATCCGGCTTTATTTATACAAAGTATAAAAAGGCGAAGTGTCGCTAAAAAGCGTTTTTCAACTTAACCCAATTTCGGTCAAAAAAGGCCGAAGGGTTTTGTTGTCGGAATGAAAATGCAAATTTACAAGTTTGAACACGAATCTGACTAATAAGAAAGCCATTCAGGCATTAATATCACATTTTTAATTTTATGGTGGATGTGCATCTATCTATTCATAGATCCACCAAAATGCAAAAACTTTTAATTTTGATGTCTAGATTATTTTCATATTTCTCCCTTTTCCCCCAATTTTGACTTCACATTCGTGTTTAGAAGGGAAAAAATACATGGGGAAGATATTGTGAGACCCTCAGCACACACCACTTTTTGTGTCCACCCATGCCAATTTTGGCTTCAGATTCTTTTTCAGCGTAAAAAAAATACAGGAGAGAAACCTAGTCGGGTCGTAGGCACACACCACTTTGTTATTTTGTGTAATCATCTCAACTAGCTTGGCTCATCACAATGTCAACATGTCTATATTTCTATTCACGCATAATATTTCTGGAGAGATGTACACTTTTACTTATAAAGTTTATTATATTTCTTGGAAGTCGCAGCTGAGTCTAGCCGGGATATAGACAAACCTGGCACAGCTTCTCGAATCCGCTGCTCATAATGCCAGACAAAAAAGCCATCCAAAATAAACATACATTTGTTTTCTAATTCAATATAATATTTGAAGATCAAAAGTAATAAGATGGCTAATGCTGGATATTTCGATTGCTTTACCAAGGTCGTTTCCAGTAACTACTAGAACATTAGCATTATTTTAAAAATATGTATGTATACAATGTCAACAGAAAATGAAGGTATCCTGGGGCCATGGGCTTTGCAGTACTCCCTGAATACTACGCTATGCACGCTATCAGGACGGTATTACACCAGGGGCTTGTTATAAACCTTGGCTCACGGGTTGACAAAAAAGGTAAAACAAAAATTTCTTCTCACATTTGGTCTTGCCAAATTATTGGGCATAGGTTAGGGGTAGTGCCCTAAGAGGTAAAATATGCCAACTATTTCTCGATAACGGTAGCCTGTTGCTCTTCATATGCTTTTCGCTCTTCGAACAGCCTGTAAACAAGTAGCTAAAGCTGTTGAATAACCGAAAGCTTCTGAGTACAAACTGTGCAAGCATGTGGAGACAAAACTTACACAAAATATAACCATTGTTTATAATAAAATACAGAATAAGGTAAATGATAACCCAGGCAGAAAATCTTACCAAATAACTTGGAATATTTGAATTAATATACAAACACCATCACCATAACCCAATACAAGGCACACTTTTATATTACGGGTAACACCTGCAGGCAACCAGTTCTACAATAATTTTGTCCCGCCATCTATAGTGGACAAACAAAACTAGCATTCTGTCTGAGCGCCATCTATGGATCACAGCTTAGCACTATGCTGGTCCGTCATCTAGTGTCGTCTCCGTAAACGTAGTACACGCTACAGGAATTATGTGGGAGTATCAGAATTTACACATTGACGCAAAGAGGTGGCAGCACACGTTTATTTCACGATATACGAGGGGCTGAAGGTATGTCTTAACGCGAAAAGTATACAAGGTACCAGCGAAAATTTTATTTTAATTTTTTATATTAATTTTATCTGCGATATTCCAGTTAGTAAATGATTTTTTAATTTATTAGTTTATTACCTGTATCGTTGAGTAGACGTTGTATGGAATCATCGTTTCCCTCCGCCTCCGATGACATAACTGAAACAAGAAAATTGATGAATAAAGATGAGATTCTCAACCTGTGGGGGCGCCCCCCTAAAGCGGCGCGAAATTCCGACAAAATAATTGAAGTTTCAGAAGCTGTATGCGCGACGAGAGTTGTGATTAAAATTTGGAGTGCAACTAATGAAACACTTAATAGATATAAAAAATAATTGCCAGAGAAAACAAGAGTTTTCTGGGGGAATCAAAATCATTTTTTTAATACATTTTCAAAGAACGCACCGTAAAGCGGCAAATCAAAATGCATTTTTGCATATATGAACAATCTGAATAACTTTGTCAGTATATTTTTTGTATTGCTGCTATATTGCTATATCTACTAAATTGACACTGCAAAATTGAACGATTCCATAGAGTTGCTTTCTTCGCCGATGCTACTGTCTTCGATCATCGTAGCTTTCTACGGCAAGACAGTACACACTCGCTCGTTATGAACATATTTGGTGCAAATAATCGATCTGTGCTGGAAAATGAAGCCATTTATAAACCATCTCTAATTTAAATGCACGAGGTTCGATTGACACTGATTAGATTAAATGAACATGTTCATAGCGTGCAGATACATTTACAAGCTAATTCAAGATACCGTGATTCTGAAGAAGATTTACCAAAATCAACATGTTCCAATATGGTATATTCCAGGTAAAATTTTGAAACCATTTTATTCACATTTATTCTTGGAAATACGGAGAAGTTTCAACCTCTATTAGGGAAGTATTTCATATTTTATACTCAATCAATTGCATAGAAATCTAACAATAGTACCTTTCAGGAGACTCGTTAAAAAACAGCTGATGGATATGAAGTGTGCATTTGTTTAAAATGTTTTTTTTTTCTTTTCGTTTTCTGTTATATATTACTTTGTTGGCTCATGTGTGCGTGTTGTCAACACGTTATCTACTCAATTCATTTATAACGATGTTACTCTTTCGCACACAGTGAGGCTAAACTTCGCCACACTGATGTATGTATATCAATAAAGACATTTATTATTATTATTATTATTATTATTATTAAAGCGCCCTATTTTTTTTGTACTGAAGCAGCCGTATAGACAGAAGCCTAAATACTGGGGCACTGAGACTGATTCAAGGAGACAGAAGACACTTGGTTAATCCGATGCCGATGGTTAGTAGAATTGGAGAAGAGCCTCTCTAGGAAGACTGTTCCACAATATCGACACTGCAGGGACAAAGGAGCAGTCGCACCGGCCCGTTTGGGATGTACGAAGTTCGACAATCTCATCGCGTGACGGCACAATGGAAGAGAAAGGACTCTGAAGGGAAAGAGATAGGGAGAGAAGAGAGCCGTCCACCATGTTTTGTTTACATTTTGCTGTAGAAACGTACAAAATTTTCCTGTACTATGCGTTAAATATCCTCAAGTGGTGGTTTACTCTATTTATCTATGTTTAATGCTTAGATAATAGTTGATTTAAGTCATAGTCAAAACTGGTAAGTGTATGTTTTGGTAAGTATTGCATGTTGAGGATAAAGAGCATTATTCTCAGCGAAAAACTATGTATTTTTTGCTGCCAATTTGCTAAATACCATGCTTTTGGGTTGCTTTTCTATCGCAGCTGTGACATCTAAATCTATAGAAGTACGAAATTGCATGCGGACATATAAGGATGTTATTAGTAATGAGGCAATATGAACCGAACTGTGGGCATGCCAAACAGTAGTGATCGTCTGATAATTTTTGTTTTCTGCCTCTCACAACATAACTATTAAAGACAGTTCGCCAATGTAAGTATTAAAATACATGGATAATACTTTGTTTATTGAGGATAAATGGTCTAGTGTAAGGTAGAAATCCGTCAATAAAGTAAACTGTCACTAAGGCTAAGGGCAGATAACGATGGACAAACATCAATATTTTTATTCATTTCATCACAACAGGAAACTTCCGCCTGGAAATTTTCCTTAAGAGTGCACTGTTTATTTATAGGTCATCCCAAATAGGAAAAATTTTGTCTGACATAGTTTCTATAATAAAATTTACATAAACATAATTTTAGTGTGACTCATATTTCATTAGTCTTGGTGATAATAATGTGCTTATAAACAAGAAAAAAAGGTTATTTCCATACATGCTTTATCTACAAGCTGTAAGTACTATAGTGCTTAAAAGATGAGTACGGATATATGGTAATTTTAAAGTGACGATTTGAAGTTTAAATGAAAGAAACTTTTAAAAATTCATACGTATCCATAGTTGAGTGAATACGTTTCTTCGGTGAATTTGGTACATTGATCACAGATCTTTTGTCAATTGTTCGTTGAGATGCACAGCACTTATTTTCCTTTCTCAAATCGGGCTTACTGGCAATCTGACACTCTAGTAATTTTAAATGGCCATCTTCGAAATATGCGTCCCAAATTACCCCAGCGTATCTAGTTTCATTTGTTTGTAGCTATAGGAGACAAACATAAAAATTTTCCATTGTGAAACTCTTAGGAGCACCAACCAAGTGAATAATACAAAATTAAATTAGCATTCAGCTGAAAATGTATGAAATTAGCGACTTCTGGATTTTTTTTATGAACGATAAGATAATATTTTTCATTCTGAGGCTACGTAGCTCTACTTCATTCGTATATGGAACATACTAATTTAGTTTCAAATGCTCTTGTTTAGTGCTCACCATCCTCAAAGTTAAAAGACGTTATAGGAGAAAGTTTTCTAACTTGTTACCTGCAAAGATCGACTATTGACCCTGCGAACTGTTTTTCTCTTGTTACCACAGGGAACTAAAATGAACAGAAAGCCTCAAAGTTTGAAGGCACATTGTTAAAAAGTATCCTTGAGTAAATTGGATGCGTAGATCAAGACATTATACCCGCAAGACGTTATGAACAGTGTGGCAGATGCTAGTGCGTTAGTGTGATCTTGACCTTAACGTCAATAACCTTACGTATGGTCAAACAAGTCAAACAGCACCTAATAGAAATACACATGCCTAGGTACACCATTAAACGATCAGTGGGATCACTCGCAAGAAATCAAATGTCGGCGTGAGCATTTTTTCAAAAGAATCAATCTCTTTAAGAGCACAAACTTGACAACTAAAAATGCAACGTTTTTGCTGTCGTATGATAAGAAGTTGAATGTTGGACTTTAACGGTAGCAAGCACTAAAACATTATAAGCCTTCGAAATGAGGCTATACACAGAATTTTGAAAATTCCTTGAGTAAGTCATGTTACCAACGAGGGAGTATTGTACGAAATGAAAAAAAACAATATAAATAATTTCAACAGTTCAAACAAGCAAACTTAAGTATCTGGACCATACTATGCGAAATGGATGTAGAGTTATGAACTACTATAGAGAATTCTCCAGGGCAAAATAACGAAAAGAGGTGGAACAGACAGGAAAAGAATATTCTGGCAGATGAAGAACCTCAGAACATGGTTTTCGCTCTTCCAAACAGCAGTCAGCAAAATAATGACAGCAAGAATGGTCGTCAACATCCGGAACGGATATTCAGTTGAAGAAGAAGATCAAGAATCGGGTGTCAGTTTTTGCTAAGACCAGCAAGGAGCACTAAAAGGGTGGCCAAGGGTGTTTGCTATTTCTGTACTCAAGATCGATATTAGCGGCTCCTTAGAACCTGTCAATCACCATATATACCGGATTTCTTTCACAAAAACTACGTTCAAAGACATACCATTGAATATTTTTTTCTTAATTATTGAGGACATGTAATATGACTGCAACATTTTTCAAAGTACAAATTAATTATAATGACAGCATATATATTTCTCTGTATTCCAGGTGTCAGTTCATTTGTTTTTTCCGTTTTTTTTTTTTTTGGGGGGGGGGGTTGGCAAGTAGTGTGGGTTGCCTACATTCAAGGGGGGGAGGTATTGTCAAGCCGTTTGCTCTCATTATAAAGTAATTGAGAAGTGAAAGAATAAATAGCATGGTAAGAACAGAATGCGCATTTTGAGTCAAGTTTTCTAAAAACAATGTGGCTTCTCCTTCTATCTCCTTTCCGCGTTTTTCCTGCAAGTGTGAGGCCTTGGGGGGGGGGGGAGGCAATGGCACCGTTGTCATCTTCATCAATTTATGCATCTGCATTCTGGGTGTGGGTATTCGCATTTTCGGAGTACGTTTGGCGTTTTTGAGACGATGAGCGAGGGGACATGCCTGATATTTCCAAAAACCTCAAATTACTTCACGTTTGCTTGTCGCTTTAGGGGTGCTGGTCGACCTTTATAAGCGAGAATGCTACCTCAGGCGATCCAAAAGGTCGTCGTTGATTCAGAATTTTCTACAGAACGTCTGATTTCCTCAGGAGTGCCTCAAGGATCAGTTCTTGTATATAGCAAATATAAACAAGGTTGTGAAACTTTGTAGTATGGTTTTTTGCTGGCGACTCACAATTGCATCATAGTTTCAATCCTGAAATTTAGAAATTTCGGAAGCAAAAATAATAGAGGACCAAAATTCTATTGCAAGTTATACAACAGAACATAGTTTCCGCTTGAATCCCTCTAAATCCAAAGTTATTATTGTTTCTTCTAAAAATCTAAGATCCCTTATTCAAAATAATTTGAGCATTACTCTAAACGGCTATGGTATTCAGATTCAACAATCAGTTAAATTTTATGCGAATCTTTAATAATATCAAAAATCACATATTGTGATTTAGTATACTATTCATTGCTAGATTCGTTTTCAGCTAAACGTCTTCGAAAAATTGAAAATCCATGTTGTAGGTTGATTTTCAACTTCAACAATATATGTTATATGAACTCGTTGAATATTGCAGAATTCTATAAATTTCATCTGTTATATGTTCACAAGTTCCTACGTACTTCAATTCCTTCATTTTTGAAAAATAAATTGATATCTCGTGAATATATCCATTCTCGAAACATTCGACTCGCCAACACGTTAACTACGAGCCCCTTCCCACTTCAGTTGGCCCACTTCAAGATTTGTACCAAAATATGCCTTTATAAACTAAACATGACGAAACTATTTACTTCTAAAACAATTTATTTTCTCAAAAACATTTTAGATACACTCTAATCGTAAAAAATACATATTTGAAATCACTTAGACCTATAACTAATAGAACATCTGAACAAATAAACAAAGTGCGAATAAATGCGCGAAGTTAACAAAGCAACAATTGAAAGATTACCATTGGGTAACATCACCTTTATTTTTGATTACGGCTGAAATTCTTTGGGGCAAAGTGTTAGTCAAGTTTTGGCAAAAATTTGGTGTAAAACAATCCCATATTTCTTGAAGCTTTTGTCTCAGTTCGGTGATTGTACGAGCAGGATGTTGTCGTAGAACCTTTTTCATTTCGTGACACAAAGTTTCAATAGGTGACAGATCTAGACTGCTGGAAACCCATTTCAAAAGTGGTACATTATTTTCTTCCATCCATTTTATAGCCTTTTTTGAGGTATGGCACGCTGCACCATCTTGCTGAAACACAAAATCTTGGCCGGATGTGAACCATTCTTCCATCACTGGAAAAAGCGATTCTTCTAAAATTGCCAAATATTTGTTTGTATCCACATTTCCATCAATAAAATGAAGTTTTCCTACTCCTTTTGATGACATACTGCCCTAGACCATAATGGATGTTGGAAATTTCACTTTTCCGAATAACTCTACTGCGACTGTCACCAACACAAACTTCGAATCGGACCTCATCACTACATTGTATTGCACACCATTGTTGAGGTATCCATTGTCTATGTTCTTTAGCCCATCTAAGCCGATTTTTTTTGCAGTGGAGTTAATAGTGGCTTTTCTTTGGCCTATAAACAAGTTGTGCAATTTTAGGGTTTTTACTTCACTTTTTTTATAAGAAAACTTCCCTTGCAAGTGCTAAATCCCAGTTTGTGGGCCTCTCTATGAGTTCTGAACCTCGAAATTCTCCTTCCAACAGCGTCACTCCACAGAGCACTTAATTGTAAATAATTGGCACGCCTGTTTTTCACGATTATTCTTCTTAATGCTCTTCGGTCGGTATTTGTGGTATTACTTTTTTTCACATATCGTGGCTTAGAACCAGTTACGTTATATTTCTAACACTGTACCGCAATAAGTCTAACAAAGTTGCAATTTCTGAGTTTGATTTCCCAGAATTGAAAAATTTAATTATCAGTAACCGAATTTTCTCACTAATAACCTCTCCTCTACCCATTTTGAAAACCTTAACTACCCAAAACTATTTTAAACGTATTCTGACAGCTGTGATTAATAAAAACAATTGTCATGGCCTTTATTTTTCACAGCCACCTATGTTTTATAGACTTCATTTGCATTGAAATGAAAATAGGTTGATATGCTGTAATTGTAATATGTGTTATTTTTATACTGCAAATTTGATTAGGGAGTGATAAAGTTGGTGTTTTCTACTATATATTATCAAAATATTCAATGTTAATATTTTAAACCTATAACATCCTGCTAAATTTTTATTATTTGTGTTTGATAAGAAAAAAACTAAGATTTCAATAGTTGGGCCAACTGAAGTGGGAAGGGGCTCGTATGCTTCTTCACGAAACTTCTTTATTTTATAAATGCTTTACCTATAAAGGCATCAATCTATATAATGCGTTACCATCGACTGCTAAGCATCTTGATCTCAATAATTTCAAAAAGAAATTTGGTCAAATTATCTGTGATGCACAAATCCTAAAGCCTCAGTATATAGTGCATCCATATTTCTGCATATTATATGAATCATTTATAGTTCTTTTTGCACACTCATGTGCACATTGAACTCAATGTGTAATATTCGTTTAAATTTTGGAAGAATAATTTGTTATTCTAGTGCTAGTTACTTTTAAGGGTTAAGTGGTGGAATAGCTTGTGGCTACACTTCGCCTAAAATAAAAGTCGTTAATTATTCATTATTCATTTGTTTTTGGACAAAGGCCACCGTGGTGGAAGTAGTCCACACACATATGTGGATCCATCAGCATGAATACCACGGGATAAGTTTCAAGTGTTACATTTTCACGAACATGGTATCAGTCTCTCATCGTCATATGACAACTGAAAACCAAGAACTTGAAGGGCCAACAAACTCGAAATGCCACTGCACTAGCTGCAGCTTCGAACCCCTTTTTTTCCGCCAGGTTCCGTCGGGTTTCGTGGTACCGCATCAGTAATACGGAACCGAACAATTTCTCATGTCCAAATAAGGTGCATCGGAATGCAGTGGAAAAAAGCAACGACCAACCGTCGACCTGCATGAATTAAGAACCTTGGAAAGGCAGCCGACAGAGGCCCTCAACCTTTCCGAGAAAAATAAAAAGAAGCGAGATTCTTGCACGGAACCACTAACCAATACCAATTACATATTCTCCTTTGAAGAGTCAGCGCTGGGAAGATGAAAGCGTAAATTGGGTGTTTTTGATTCAATAGGACCAGCATGTACACAGCGGATCACCTCAAAAATATAGGACGCATCTCATGTTACTTGCTAGCCCACCTTTTAATACGTTTTGATAGTGAAAAAAGCTTTAGCAGTTTTCATTATTATTTCCCAGATATTAGCAAGTTTATAGGGGGCAAAACAAAGGTGGCATTGACAATAACCTTGACTGCGACTTTTAAGGTCGTTTTAAGTCAGTGGACATTTTTAAAAAGAACCTCCGTTTCTTACTTCGGAATTGAAAAGAGGAGAAAACACGTCGGAATATAACAATCACTATGAGCTTGACTATTCACCTCAAGAACTGATCTTCACGTGGATTTTTCAGAGAATCACAGCTATTTTTCTGGCTAATCTGTATTTTTTCTGATGAACTTACGGAGTTTGGGGTGCTGAAGCCTAATACGACTATCAAAGGATACAAATAATAGTGCCGTGAGGTCAAATTTGGGGTGGAAAAGAGCTCAGTTTTAACAACGAATTGGTATTGTATTCAGAAATTACGCAGCCTCCTCCAAATCACATACCGACATACAGAATTATTGAAGGCTTTCTCATAATAGATCTCACAGTAGCACTATTCTGAAGAGGAACCGACATTGGGATAGGAAACAAGCCGCACAGACCTTAATAACATCGAATGCGGAATTCACTCACTTAATTTACCCAGGGATACTTTGGTTCAGATCACAAGAACTGAACGATATTTAAAATTTTTGTTCCTGATACCACAGAGCAAGGGAGCTGGAGATATTTTTGAACCTTCACAACTCTATCCGGTTTTTCGATTGACCAGAAGACGTCAACCTTATTTAGTAATCCCAATGAATTTTTTGACTTCGAGAAACTTTCAAAAGATTTAAGAATGTTGTCCACATGGCAAACTGAGAAAGGGCAAAATATTAAATGGAGTTTATGGTAAAAAAGACATGCCCACCAAAATATTTTTGAAATCTAGCCACCACGATACTAGTTATGACAAAATTGAGTTAAAAAGACTGATGAGAAATAGTAATAATATAAATGATATTAAGCTATAACAACTTAATAAGGAACCAGTAAAAATAACAAAAACTCCGACTTAATTTCGTTATGTGAAAATACTACACCCGTTGTAACCTTGCCAGAATTCCAATACTTTTCTGGAAATTTGCCCCATGAAAATTATTAACAATTCTAAATTTCTTTTTTGTGTATCATAATACATCAACATTAGCTGGTAATATGTCAACAGATAGTGTTTGGCTTTTATTTCAATAAAAATTGCTTTGACGTTTCGAGTTGTTTTCTTCATCTCATCACCTAATATTTGTGTCATAATCTACATCAATTTTAGGCATAGACATTCAGTGAAATTTTGTAGGGGTAGCCAAAATTCAAAATTAGATCTGAACTTTTTTACATAAACTCTGCTGTCAGCAGACCAACGAACACTTAAAAAATTGAATAATCAACAAATTTTCTGAGATAATCGCCCCCATGGCTGGAAATATCATTCATATAAGTCAATGAAATAAGTTCTGTATATCTTAAACAAGTGTAATAGCAAGAACTCTAATAAAAATATATATTAGCTCTAGCTGACAAAAAGCTTCTGAATATTCTAAGCGGGTTTTCCAATTTTTTCCAAAATATCTTGATAAGCTACCGCAAATATTGAAACAGCATATGATTGACAATGAATATGGGCTGATAAACTGAAATTTTCAATTCGGAAATATCTAAACTTTACATACAATGCTCAATCAATAGCACGCTGGTTTCGTTTACTTGCTCTCTTGGAAAAATTACTAAACGTTGGTTAGGACACTTAGTGAGAAAGCCGACTAAATGATCAGTCTTCTGCGGCATCTCAGAGGAGACCTCAGAGGAGCAAAGTCTATTGTCATAGCGGTAGAAGAGGGCATGATCGCTAACCTCCCGGATTCCATCGACATATACATCTAAGTTTTGATAGCTTTTGAGATTCAGATACTGAAAAGCATTAATTCCGTCCACTCTGTACATATAGGATACGTAAATGCTGATTGAACTTTAAAACTTGCTTAACCAGTTGGCGCTTTGGAGGAGACTGAGTGGCTCACCTGGTCTGACCCACCGAATAAAATTCAACAGGTGTTTTCGTTATTATGCATATTTATGATCATGAGAATGATTTCGCGATAAAAGCCGAAAACAAGTCAAATACCCGTAGATTATTCAAACGATTGGATAATTACGAAAGCTTATCCGGAATATATGGCAATACGGGATGTTTGTTCGCTTTTACTTCCCTGGCGAGAAAGTATTGTGATAGCGAAAAATTCCGAAAATGAGATACTATGTTTTGAGATGTTACATGACATGTACATCACGAAAAACCATGTCACTCATTTACGATGGTCTGTCTGCCCGCTAACGCTTGACCCCTCCATAACACAAGAGATAACTACGACGCCAAGGGCGAAAAAGCTTTGTGACATTTGTAAGTCGGTCCAGCGACGGCGATGCAAGCGTTAAGGGGATTGTTCTCTACGCTGTACTTCAAAGTACAGGGTGCGGCAGAGAGGACGGACGTTTTTGGGATGGGTAGTACTCTCCGCCTCCGCCTACGAGAGAGGTGGGGAGGGTGCCGTTTGACTCGTGAGATCCTAGCATTATTTTACCAGTTGTCGTTATGGAGCCTTGGACGGTGGAGCACCGCGTTTTCGCCTATGATTGTTTCATCCGAAATAATGAGTCAGTCATCGTCGTACAGCGTGAGTTTCGTCGCCACTTCAACATTCATCGGAATAGAGCTGTTCCCTCTCGAAACACCATCTTTCGTTGGGTTGAATCGCTTTGCAGGCGTGGTGAACTGATCAACAGAAGACCAAGAGCAGCGCCGCGAACAGTTCGAACTCCTGAAAATGTTGAACGCGTTCTTTCTTCGCAGTCCGACTCGATCTGCCCGGAAACATGCTGCTGCACTTCGCCTTAGTGATCGTTCGGTAAGGCGAATTTTGCTTACGGATCTCCGCTTTCACCCCTACAAATTGGCCATTGTGCAATAGTTACAGACCGGAGATTATGCACAACGAACGGACATCGCACGTGAGATGGAAGCACTGATCGATCAAAATGAGAACCGCATTTTGTTTATGAGTGACGAAGCCCACTTTCACCTAAACAGCATAGTTAACCAGCAGAATTGTCGTTATTGGGCTAATGAAAATCCGCAACAGTTACACGAAAGACCGCTGCACAGCCCAAAAGTAACGGTTTGGTGAGCTGTATCGTAAACTTGCATCATTGGCCCTTACTTCTTCGAAGACGGTAATGGTCGTGATGTTACCGTGAACTCAGAGCGCTACATCGACATGGTCACCAACTTCTTTCTCTCTGAATTACCACGACGACGTCTTCCAATCCGACGTGTGTGGTTCCAGCAGGATGTGGCGACCGCCCACACAGCCCGAGCATCCATGGGCGTTATTCGCCCTCTCTTAACTGGTCGCCTTATTTCCAGGTTTGGCGATGTTCATTGGCCTCCTCGGTCCCCAGATTTATCCATATTCGATTTTTTCTTATGGGGACAGCTCAAGGCTAGAGTATACGCGAACAAGCCCCGAACTCTGGACGAATTGAAGGGCGAAATTCGCGTGGAAGTCGCTCAAATTGAGAGAGCGATGTTGGAGAGAGTCTACGCGAACTTCCAAAAACGCCTCCAGCACTGCATCAACGATTTCGGCCACCACATGCCTGATGTGATTTTCCACACTTGACTGTCTCAAATGCTATTTCCTTGTGAACCTGATTCCATCAATAAATTTGTTTTCGAGTAAAACTAACTATTTTATGATTTTTTAAAAACCGTCCATCCTCTCTGCCGCATCCTGTATAATCAAAATAAATGTAGTAATATAACATAATCAGTGGTGGAAAGTAGTGGCGGGGAGGGTTATTATTATCCTCGCACATGCGCATAGAATATAAAAGTGTTCGGCCAATAATATAATAGCATACTTCTCCAACAAGGTACATAAGTGATGTACTTTTTATTTACAATTAAGCAAAAAATTACCTCCTATATGTCTTTTTACGGTTTTTGACAGGTCATAGTAAAACTACTGGAATTACTTTCATACATTCATCTGCCTCACGCACACACACACACATCTGCAATCAGTCTCTGTCCGCGGAGGTTTGTTTGCATAATCTCAAAGACTCTACATACGATTTTCATCTCGAGTCTTCTACATTTATCTTAGTCTCTAACAGCCTGACAACTTGCTTGTCGTGGGCGTGTTATTTGTGTTTACCCATGTTGATCTTCAATATAAGATACAACTACAACGTTGACAGTCTGCATTGAGAAATATTTCAGAAAGTAAGTGAAAACAATGGTTAACTATTCATTATCTAATGAATGTGTGTGTGCAAGAGCGAGTAGCATCTACGTGATGGATCGGCATTGTGACGTAACCTACCAAGAACCTTGAAAAGAACCATATTATCGTTTTATTGAGTCCGAAAGCATCCAGTATATTGGAAAGCGTTGGGGATAAGAACGAAGAATATGTATCTTTGGTCTGTTTTCAACTAATATGTCTTGACAAAATGATCTATTTATATTCGGTATACTCGATTTTTCCAAACACCTGTCTTCGCAAGTCTCCAATGTCGGACTCAAAACATTCAGTGCCTTCTAGAGCATATATTTCAAAAAGGACAATAAACTCCTACCCCAACTAGCAAAGTAGTGGTATTAGCTTTTGGTAAAAGAACCGTTCAGCCATAAAAGCTCTCTATTGTTGTTGCCTGTACACCAAAATGCTGGCTTAATGTTGTGTGGAATTCAGATTTGCTTTCTGCAACATATTTTCTCTAAAATGAAGCGTTTAAAATATTCTTATAGCATAGTTATATAACACCTTATAGGGCAAATTTTTAACTGTTCCATAAACGCTTATACAACTATTTTATACGGCATATTTGCACGTTTGTCAAAATGGTTGTGTTGTGGCATCCATGGTAAGGTTTATAAAACAAACCCGAGCCTTGTTGTTTTGCTGTGCAATTTACCACTTTAGCCAACAAATTGCTCCCAATGGAAGCACTTATACAACTGTTGTTTAGTAACTGTTAAAGGCTGTACATATTCTAAATATGTTGGTAAACAACTTCGCCATAACCTAACTTTCTGCGGTCACATTTTTGTAAAATGACATAATCAATGTTTTAAGACAAACAACACATGCATATTGATTCAAAAGGTAATTATCAACTGTTCAAACAGAAGATATAGATCTGGTACAAATTCTGGGTAAATCATTCGACTCTGTCGGTATTTCATTTCAGACATTTGTCAAATTGTTGTATAATACCTGCAGGAAACATCAAAATATTCTAATAACCTAAAGACAACATGGACGATGCCATGATTGTACACAACCACCCGCCATATTGGGCAAACATTTATTCCTCTATTTAATATTAAATAATTATGTTTCAGTTCGAAATTACAGATATAAAGATTTAACGCAGATAAGTTCAGTTTTCCATCTTAAAAATCTAGACATACTTTTGATCATTGTCAAAATATGAATCAAATACGAAGCCCGTAGAAATTGAGTAACTAA